TCTCATTTTCGCAAGCTGCCTGCATTGCTGAGTATATACGATGCCCTTATTATGTCCAAAGACCTTAGGGACACACTCATCAAAGCCTTGCAAAATCTTGAGCAGTATGAGGCGTTCTTTGCCGAGCAAAGCCTAAAAGAAGCCTTATATACACAAAATAATGCTACAGTTACTTTCTGCGATAGTGATTTGCTCCTGGGAATTGCAGATCATAATCTACCATTATATGTCACTGCAGAGAGTAACAACACAGAAATTAACAGAATTTTGATCGATCCAGGTTCCTCTGTCAATCTAATGAGCCTCAGAACGCTCAAAGGATTAGCCTTGGATGTTCAATACCTAACTAAAAGCACTGTGTTCCTGCAAGGATTCAATGAACAAGGGCAAAGAACTTTGGGATCAGTGGTTTTACCTCTAAGTTTTAGAGAGCTGCATATAGAGGCAAGATTCCACATAATTGATTCCAATACATCATACAAGGCACTTCTCGGAAGACCATGGCTCCACGAATATGGCATAGTGCCTTCAACACTTCATCAATGTATGAAGTACAATTGGGATAATGAAGAACATCGCATCGATGGTGATGAACAACCGTTCTTGGTACACGAAGTCAAAATCTACGATGATGCCAAGTACTTTATAGCACAAAAGCTAGAAGGTAGTAATCTTCCGAGAATCCAGGTTACTACACTGGATAAAGGAAAACCAAAGGATAAAGGAAAGGATAAACTGAAGAAAATCTACTCAGTACCTCACCTCGGTAGTGATACTGAAGAGGATGATAGTATCTCTGCAACTTTCAAACCCCTAATCATAAGGAAAAGAAAGAGTGAACTATCAGCCATCCCTTTGGATTATAAAGCTGGTCATGCAAATAAAGTGCGGTGTTCGAGCAAATCAAGTATAGAGGAAGAAGAAGAATTTCTTTATCAGCCCAAAAGTACTACAGAATTTCCAGAGGAAAGGAATCCAGAACCCAGTTCTATATCTAAGAAATTGAAAAATATGTCAATTTCGATGATAAGGGTATCTGAAGAAAAAATATCCACAAATATCATCAAAATAGTACCTATGCTAGTGGCACATTCTAAAACATTGACTACCACGATAAATACAAACATAGGAATGTTAAAGACATTCTATGTCCCTCCCCAAAGGGGTCTTAATGAACGTGGATCCCTTTTCTACGAATCAAAGGTGATACCACGTCATATTGCTCATGAAATAGAAAATGAAGATGAGTGGGATTATGAAGATATGTGGATAATTATTCCTCAATATCCTTCACCCATCATGAGAAAGCTCATGGAGAAAAATGTCTTCTTTGTGCAAACAAATAAACGAGCTCGTTATTTCAGAGAACTATGGCACAACGAGCATGCACAAAAACCTATTGGTCATGGTTTGTCTACAACATGGGGGCTTGGATATGCTCGACATTCATGTCTCACACGAGAAGCATCCTACCATTATCTTGAGTACCCCCAACGTCCGCGTCTAACATATGCAACCTCCTACAACATAACAGATAAAGAGGAGGGACAGCCCGAACTCGAAAATCAAGTTGAAGATCTAATAGTAGATCTGAAAGAAGCTCCAAAAGAATTTGAAGAAGGTGGTCAGGCTACTGTGGATGAACTCAAGAAGATAAATTTGGGTACAGAAGATGAGCCAAAGCCAACCTTTATTAGTGCGAATCTTCCGCACGATAAAGCAGAAGAGCTAAAAGTGCTTCTTATTGAGTATAAAGATTGTTTTGCATGGAATTACACTGAAATGCCTGGTTTATCACCAGAGGTGGCAGTGCATAAGCTCTCTATCAACGCTAAAGTACAACCTATCAAACAGGCACCTAGGCGAATGCGACTTGAGATTGAAGAGCAAGTGATCGCTGAAACTAAAAAGCTCATTGAAGCTGACTTTATTCGGGAAGAAAAATATGCTGACTGGATTGCCAACATCGTCCCAGTAAAGAAGAAAAATGGTCAAATTCGTATGTGCATTGACTATCGGGATTTGAATAAGGCATGCCCGAAGGATGATTTCTCACTCCCTAATGCAGAACTTATGGTCGATAACACGTCGAACCACGATATGTTCTCATTTATGGATGGATCGTCGGGTTATAATCAGATTAAAATGGACCCAGAAGATGAAAAGCATACTGCCTTTCGAACTCCTATAGGCATATATTGTTACAAGGTTATGCCATTTGGTATCTCATAAGATAACATTAATATCTAAAATAGATCCATTAAAGTTTTTAATGACTAGACCCACTCTAACGGGTCGTCTAGCTAGATGGACGGTGTTGCTAATGCAATTTGATATAACCTACATGCCACAAAAGGCTATAAAAGGGCAGGCACTAGCTGATTTTCTAGCTGCTCATCCATTACCTGTAGATTCTCCACTTAATGATGAGCTGCCAGATGAGCAGATACTCGAAGTGGAAGAGAGAATACATCTACGAGAATGGGAGCTCTATTTTGATGGAGCTTCATCAATAAAACCAGCCCGACCACCTAAACTCCCAATAGTTCAGGTAGGCATTGGCCTTATATTTGTAACCCCACAAGGCGGTATATTGCGATACTCATATAGCTTAATTGAACCTCGCACTAATAATGAAGCTGAATATGAAGCTTTAATAGCAGGTCTTGAGCTTGCAATTAGCATGCAAATTCATAAACTTCATATTTATGGAGATTCTCAACTTATAATTAAGCAAATAGCATGTGCTTTTAAAATTAATAAACCCGAGCTAATCCCATATTGTGAGTACGCTTTGAAACTCCTAGAACAAATTCCCGAGGTAACCCTAACTAGGATTACACGAGGTGAGAACGGGAAAGCCGATGCGCTGGCAAAACTAGATAAAGAAATGACAAATGTCCAAGAGGATCCAATCATCATAACTATCCAGAATAGACATGCATTATCTCCTGCTTCCTTACAAGAAGAGGAAGGAAAAGAAATACTCAAGTGCTTATATATATCGGATGAAAATGATTGGAGGAAACCATTCATTACATATTTTAAAGAGGGTAGATTACCGGAGAATAAATCTACTGCCTCACAAATAGCTAAAAGAGCATTAAGACATGCTTATGTAAATGAGACATTATATCGTAGATCATTTGACCAAATATGGCTACGATGTTTAGGTCCTAACGAATCCCAAAGAGTTATAACTGAAGTCCATGAAGGATTGTGCGGTGCGCATCAATCTGGACCAAAAATGAAGATCAAAATTAAACACATGGGATATTATTGGCCTAGCATGATTAAGGATTGTCTTAACTATGCTAAAAAGTGCCATCAATGTCAGGTGCATGCTGATGTTATACACCGGCCTCCTAACCCGTTACATCCTACAGTAGCATCTTGGCCATTCGAAAGCTGGGGCACCGATATAATTGGTCCTATAGAACCACCTTCTTCTTCAGGACATCGGTTCATCCTTGCTGCCACAGATTACTTCTCAAAATGGGCTGAAGCAATTCCCCTAAGAGAAGTTAAAGCGGACAATGTTATGAAATTCTTCCGAGATAATATTGTCTATCGTTTTGGAATACCACGTCGAATTATATCAGACAATGGTACCTCCTTTAAAAGTGCCAAAATTTATCGATTTATAGAGCGTCATAAGATAGACTGGCGTTATTCATCGATATATAACCCAAGAGACAATGGTTTGGCTGAAGCATTTAACAAAACTTTGATTAAACTGCTCAAGAAAATTCTCTCTAAAAATAAGAGAGAATGGCACGATAAATTAACCGAAGTCTTATGGGCATATCGCACAACCTATAAGACTGCGACACAGGCTACCCCATATTCTCTAGTCTTCGGAACAGAGGCAATATTACCTCTCGAGGTGGAGTTACCGTCGTTTCGTATTGCTATACAATACGACTTAACCCGAGAAGAGAATGATCTTTTAAGGTTGGAAGAACTTGAAGCTTTAGATGAAACTAGGCTGCAAGCCCAACAAAATTTAGAAATCTATAAAGCTCGAATGACTAGGGCTCATGATCGAATGGTCCATCCTAGGAGTTTCAAAGAAGGTGAACTTGTACTAGTTCGTAAAAGACCCATAATTCCCCATCGTCGAGTCGGTGTTAAATTTGACCCAATATGGGAAGGACCCTTCATTATCGAAAAGGTATATGAAGGAGGGGCATACCAACTTATAGATATTTCTGGTCAAAGGCCTATGCCACCAATTAATGGCCAATATCTAAAGAAATACTACATATAATCTCTCAATTAATAGAATATTATGATGAAAACTCCTACTGTAATACAAGAGGCAACTTATATATCTCTCTGTAAGGTAGGAGATAATATTTAATCTTTCCTAAAGATAGGAAATGATTAACATATATTCCTGCAATGTAGGATATAAATTTACATGTTCTTTTGCAATGCAAAGAACACATGACATACACCCTCCTGTAATACAGGAGGCAATTTTATCTATATCATCATATAAGGTAGAAGATACCTTATACTCCCTCTTGAAATATAGGAGGCAATGTTATAGATACCTTATACTCTCTCTTGAAATATAGGAGGCAATGTTATAGATACCTTATAATCCCTCCTGTAATACAGGAGGCAATTTTTTTTTATAAAAAATACCCCTTTACTAAATAATGTAAAGAAATCATGAGACTACATATTGACTTAATGATTTATCATTATAGTTAACTGCTGAGGTCTTTTACGCTCACAAACCTAAGGGTCGAGCTAAAATTCATTGGTTCAATAAGCCTAAGGGCCGAACTGCTAAGTCTTTTATGCTCATAAACCTTAGGGTCGAGCTAGAATTCATTAGTTTAATAAGCCTAAGGGCTGAACCGCTAAGTTCTTATGCTCACAAACCTAAGGGTCGAGCTATAAAAAGAATAATAATAATAAAAAAAAAGGAAGAAGAAAATAAACTATAAAATTAATGCATAATTATAAATAAATACATGCATAAATACCATGAATGTGGTAATGAAGCTGTCAAAGTCTGAATTGAATGTTGCTGATCTGATGTCTAACTCTGAACAAACGATCCTCCAACATCGCTCGCTGTTCCTGTGCGAGCTCCAACCGACGACGAGCCGAGTCAAACTCCTCAGTGAAAAAAGAAAATCTATCCTCCAAATGCTTGACCTCGGAAGCTATCAAAGAAAAGTCCTCCTCGGTATGGGTAGCCACTGCTCTAACCGCCTCACGTCTCTCTAGAAGAACTATCTCCCTCAATTTCAAAGCTCTGAGCTCAGCTTCTATACCCAGAAGCACCATCTGCTCCCCAGAAATGTCCCGCTGACAGTGATGCAAATTTTGTAATCCAATATCTAAATCAAAACGAGCTCTCCTCATCCTATCCCAAGTAGCTCGGGCCTCAGCCTCTAAATCAGCAAGAATTATGTAAGACAACCTCCGAGAAGCGTAGTCTAGCTGAAGTAACCCGAACTCAACAGTGAGACAGGAAAGCTCCCACATCTGCAAAAGGCTATCTCGTAGACCACAAGAGGCAGCAAAGTTCAAAAGTAAGCAGGCCTCTATATGAAAACTAAACAAGTCTGGTAAAGCATTAAGGTCTACTCGCCGTAGTAAAACTCGTAGCGCACTAACGGCATACTGCTCTCCTCTTAGCCACCGCTGACTAAAAGAGCGATGAGCTCGAAACACAGATCTTGACTCGAAACATGAAAGCTCTAAACCTAGAACATGAAAGGAGTTATCATTACAAAATATTTATATATACAATATAATAAGAAATGCTAATTTGAAATAAGATAATACCTGAAAGTTGAGAGTCCTCTATAGAAGCTACAGATCGCCAACCACTCTGGTGGGAGGTAACGTCTGGTGAAGAACCCCCTGAGGAACAATCTGAGACCACCTAAGTCAAGGAAGGGTGGGTGACTAGCTCCGTCGTGGTGTTATCAGTATCACTCCTGGGTAGTAACTGGGTAGAGCCACTACAAGTACATTGATCATCAAGTGAAAGCTCTCCCAACGAGTCACCAACGACTACCCAAGTAGAATCTGAAAGAGTAGGAGACGAAACAACAAGCTCCACAACAAGTCCACTAGGACTACCGGCGGTGTGATCTATAAAAGACGCTGGTCCGTCATTATATATATATGAATGAAAAAAAAAATCATATATATGTATATAACAAATAAAGGCTACTAAGTAAGCAAGGATGTAAAAAAAAAAAAAGGTATTTGTTATTTAATCAATTAATAAAAAAAAAGGTATTTGTTATTTAATCAATTAATAAATAAAAAAAAATTTATGAATACCTTCATCTGTATGAGGAATTTCATATGGGCCTCGAGAAATATGTGCAGCATCCAAGCAAGCTGCCTCTAAAATAGGAGAGACAGGAAAAGTTTGGGGAGTATCCTGTATATCAACAGGAGCATGTTGGGACGCTGAAAAGTAAACAGAGAAAATATATTTAAATATGATATGTTATTTAAATTTAATGTATAATACACAATTGAGGTAAATATGTAACCTGTATACTCGTACGAAGTCCTGCTCCTAGGTCGACCCCTCTCTAGAGAAGGAGAAATCGGCCTACGCCCATGCGAGGCAGCTGCAAGTATTATAATTTAATTATATATGTATTTTTGAGAAGATATATATAATAAAATAACAATACTAATATACGTACCAGGGCAATCATGCCTATAAGTAGGTTCAGGACTCCTCTTTCGCCTTTTATCTTGCACTTTATAAGACTTTGTACGTGCGGGGGTGTAATCCCTCAAGCCCGATGAATACTTCGGTTGGCCAGTACCCTTAATCCTTCTACTGTATCTCTGAATGCCTAACTCAAAGAAGGAGGAAAAGGTGTGTCGAATCCAGAGCAGCCGCAAGTGTGAAATGCCGGTAGGAGCATCTATATGTGCAATATAAAAGCGAGAACTTGTCCCAAATCGAAGAAGAAAAGCCCAAGTCATGGAGGCCACCTCAAGACAAGCTGAAAACGAAAGAGAGCTCAAATGGCGATGATCTGTCACTCCAGGAAGTGCTGGAAGTCCATCCAAAGGAGTGGCCTGAACAAAGCCAAACTGTCGCACTGCTCTATTGGGGTTATACCCCTCCAAAACTATAGAACAATCTCTCCTATAACAAAGCCATCCAGGTCTCATGCTGACCAAGTAAGAAGCAATAGGTGCAAAGCCGCTCCTGGAAAGCAAAGTAGGTCTGCCCCTTTCTGTCAAAGAATCTAATAGTGAAACTCCTAAACTTCGGGAGGGTAAACCTCCAACTGGAGATCTGTAAACCAATCTAAAACGGCTGGCCACAAGTAAGGGTGCAAAGAAAAACAATCTGATCTGGGCCCTATCAGTAGCTGAGATCCCCCTGGCTAACTGGATCAATAGGGGGAAGAAGTAATCTGAATAGTAGTCCGGTGACTCAGCACAACTGAAAGCTCCCTCTACGTGCATATGCACCCATCCATGGACATAATTCCATGGTACCTCAACCATATGCTGTCGGCGACCATAAGAGGCAGAAATCTATCCAAAACCATGGTATATCTGCGCGAGTGCGGCTGGGGCTAAAGAAACCTGTCTCCCACTAGCAATCAAGCTAGCCATCAGAAGTGTACTGGGACGAAACAATCTGTCCTGACTCGGGAAGACAAAACTGCACAACTAAGTGGCTACAAAAGCCACCAAAGACATCTCCTCTGAAATCCCCCTAACGGTAACCGGTCGAACTTCTGCTGCTAAACTAGGCTCAAAAAACTCAACTGAAGCCTGCTCATTATACTGAAGATCTGTACCAAAGGGATCATGAGGTTGAGCAACCAACAATGTATATGCCTCATGGAGCAAAACACTCTCAATCCAACTATCCAAAGAAACTGTAGTCACACGACGATGGCCTCTCTGTCTACAAAGGCAGTAGTAATGCGCCAAACTTTGATAAAGACCATCTGAATAAGCAAACTCTCCCGGCCTCGAGTGACCAACTGGTCGACGACTGAACAAATCATAGTCCTGAGGAATGCATTCCTCGTAAGGAATACCCAAAATAGGTAGGCCAGAAATCAAATGCAAATCCCAAAGGATAATTTTCATCTCATTCGGTCTAATCCAGCAAGTGTTTGTGATACTATCCCAGTGCTCCACTAGTACCTGAAGCCATGAGTACGAGAGCCGACTATAATCAAACAAGGAGGCATAAATAGCTCTGTAGACGCCTGCCTGCTGAAGTACCCTTCGATGAGCTCTCAAGACATATCGAGCCCATGAAACATAGCCCTTTAGCATCCTAAAAGGGCTCCCAAACACTGTTCATACTGCTGCTCTGCAATCTCATGACGAGATAGGCTGTAACTAAGCAATCTGATGGTGCCAGTATGCTCTGCAAGATCTGCAGTAGGCTGTAATACATATTGAGTACCATAACTCAAGCCCTCGACAGTTCGACCTAAAGAACCACCGTCATGATGGCGAAGTCTAAGGGTAATCACCCAGTCTATAGGATCATGTCCTACAGGAAGCTCCGACTCAAAAGCAGGAAGTCGAGGTGACCGAAAAAACAACCCAGCATATATATCTCTATCAATCAGCATCTCCTGATGCCATAACAGTCGATCTCTAATGGAAGCAGACTAGAAGTGGTCAAATCGGTCAATCTCCCTCCAAATATGGTCCTCAGATGGCTCTATATCAGGCATCGAACGAGGCCTGATCCAATCAAAAGCCATCAACTGAGAAAAGAAAGAGGATTGAGCAAATTAGATTACTAAAACAATATTGCAACGAATTAATTGCGCGAAAACTTCCAAAAAATTCGTTGGGAGGCAATTTTGTTTGGAATAAAAATAAATAATTGGAATAACATATCAAGTTGAGGATTGCGAAAATGCTTTCTCAAAGCCATCATATTGCACTTGAGATGAAACTAATTAGTAAGTGCAATGAACGCCTCAACAAAGATATTCTACATTGGTTATATATGGAAAATGGAGCTACCCCTTTTAGTAACATTTAATAACATCATAATGATACTCGAGTATTCGGCTTTGTCATTATTCATGAACAATAGATATAGTGACAGCCTAATCTCTCTAAAAAAAAATAAATAAATAAATAAAGGAGTGAGAGATGTTATTTTTATAATCTAGATTAAATTCTTTGGAAAATGGATTCAGAACAATGCATATACATACCATTACTAGTGGCCCTCATTAGTAATCTTATATTCATCTTGTTATAAAATTTTTTTTTTTTTTAAAAAAAAGGATAAGAAATAAAGGTTATGTTTGGACTCTAAAGGGCTCTAGCACCTCACAGCAAGTTAAGATATCTCTCATGTTTTATAATTGACTTGTGTCATAGCTTGCAAGATCAATTGGTGGATAAGATTTCAATAAAAATGACCATAAATTTAATTCATTAAATTTATATGTCAAGCTTGAGTAGTTTTATTTTTCATGCTTGAGGAATAAATCATGAACTGGAGCATTGTTTGGAGCTTGACCAACTCCAAGAATCATTTCATCGAACATCTCATGGGCGTTTTGAAGAATCGACAATATTCAAGATGAAGAACTTTAAGTCTTCTGACAATCTGCAATTATATTATTTTATTAGTACTCATAAAGCTAATAAAATAATATATTAATGTATTGAAGACCTGTACAAAGCAAACTTCCAAATACTATATACAAATGAGAATGATGGATGGAAATATATTTAAAGGCTGTTATAATGATAAAGCAAAGATAATGAATTGCAAAAAGAAGTTCAGGCTCTTACTCGCGGCAAGGAAAATATAAACCATGAAATAAAATTTTATAAGTTGCAGCAAAACATCACAATCGTGGACCACGTTGCCTCCACGTCGTTGGAATAACTGTTACTTCAATGTATAAAAGAACGAAATAACTATAGGGGAAGGGGCGCTCACAGGAAATCAATTCAGGCTTTACAGTTCTGCTTCTCTCAACCGCACGGTTCCTTCTCGCCCTCTCTCGCACAAGCAATAAAATCCACGGCCGCCAACCAGATTTCCATTGCGAATCCGGCCACCGAACCCAATTTCCGCCTCTTCTAGCGACTGAAGCTGCCGTGCCCTAGCCTTGCTGAACCAAGGCCATCCTCCTTACACCACGTCGATAGCCTTCCGACCGTCAAACTCGTCGATTCCAGCCGAACTCCGGTCACCGTCTCCGCTTCAAGCACCGACGCCGAACCTGTGCGTGACCTCCGTCGGACCCTTCTTTGTTCTTTCCCGATTCTTCTCTCTTTATTTCTAATATATTATAATACATATAATAAGTATATTTTATAATAATATATATATCATATATTATATTCTAATATATATCCTATGATATATGTATAATATTATATTATATATGACATATTATATGTATGTTATATAATATATTATAATATACATAATAAAATAAAATAAGAGAGAAAGAAATAGAAAAAATATACATATATATATAGAGAGAGAAAGAGAGAGTAATGAATGACTTTTCAAACCAAGCATCGACAACCAACAAGCAAACGATCACCGGTAGTCACTACAAATCGTCATCAATTCGAGTTTCTAAAGACCGATTCCGGGGCCCGACAACGCCCCGAAGCCCTCGGCCGTCGATCCAATCCGGCCGGGCGGACTTGAAAGGGCAAATGCCCTCTTTACCTCCCG